GCGCAATGATGGTGCCAACTTGGGCCAGTGAAGCAACGTCCTCCACAACTAGACTGAAGAACAAAATGACAGCAACTTGCCTGTTCCCCTTCCCCAATTCCCCAGCGCTGTTCCCATCCCCCAATTTTCCAATAAAAATGTTTTAAAAAAAAAAAGATACCTGTCGCTTGAGTGATTAAACCCTTTACTGGCCTCCTAATGCCCTTAAAATCTAAACATGACCTATAAAGGTCTAAGTGACCTGGACCTTGCTTGCTACCCTCCAACTTCCTCTGCTGCTTCTCACAGTGCTCCAGCCACACCAGGCCCCTTTTGAAACCTAGAAGATGCCAAGTGGCTTTTAAAACATTGGCACATGCTGTTCTCTGCTGTAATGCACTGCTTCTTCTTTACAGACTTCATCCTGCTTTGATGCTATCTCCACAGATCACCCTACGGAGCTGCTCACTCACCACCATTCTGAAGTGCACCTCCCCTTTTAATCACTCCAACACAGTATTTTTTCTCAATATGTACCATTTGCTTTTTGTCTTCTCCCACTAGACCATATGTTGCACTGTAACTCACTAATGTATACTGAGCACAATGTATGGCACATACAAGCATTCAATAAATGCTGAATTAATAAGAGGTATGAGGAGGGACAAGGTAGGGTATTCTTAGGGAAGCAAAGGAGGGAAGTTTCTGGAAGCGAGTATGTCAACATGTTATGGACTGAGAAAAGGCTACTAGATTTAATGAACAGATCCACCTTTTGAGAGCAGTCTGAATTAAGGGTGGCAAAGAAGGACACTGTTAGACCACAACCACCCACACAGTCGGTGATTTATGAGAAGAACTTGCAGGACTCGGACCATCATTTATTATAAAGGATATACAACAGGATCAGCAAGGGAAAAGATGCATCACATGGAATCTACGTAGAGGCTTCCTACATGTTGTGCAGTGTTTCTGCCTAGAGAAGCCCACTTGAAACTCAAGAGTTGAAGGATTTTATTGGCGGTTCATGTAGGCACAAAGACCAAAACCATAACTATCAAAATTCTAGACTCGCAGAAGGAAAGCAGGCATTCAGTGCCCCAAGCAGGCAAAAATGTTGTTAAAAGCAAGGGTCTTCTCAAAAGCCAAGTTTCCAGGCTCCAGCCAAGAGCTAGCCCTGCAATCAGGCCCTTCTAAAGATGTCAGCCTGAGGCCTATGTTAACTCTTCCCTGTGCAGTCACAAAGCATAATTTTTAGGCAATAAAAAATAAAAGATGGGGCATTAAGTAAAGAGTGCTATTGACAGGTGTGATGAAAAAACAAGAGGTGACGAATGAGATATTCTAGGATGGGAAGACCCTCATTGATTTGCAGACAAAATAGAAATAACCAGCAGAGAATGAGGGTATTAGCATTGGAGGGAGCCCAACAAAGGACTAAAGAAGAATATAGGGAACAATTTGGAAAGGCTTTTTGGCTTTCCCCAGCAATGCTTAGTGGCTTGGGGAGGTAAAGTTGATAGTGGGGTGTTTTTTTTGCATTGAAGTGACCATTGACGTTACTGAGAATGAAAGAGACTGTCTCATTGAAATGGTTGACCAAAAATAAAGACAAGTGGGGCCAGAACAGAGGCAATGGACCAGGAAAACTGGGAGAGGCTCAGGAATTAGAGGCCAGAATCTAAATCCAAATTCATGTATGTTAGACTTTGTACTCTATATGTTGTTTTATGTTCTTTGCTTCACCCCCACACAACTATTCTTTCTCTGTGATTCAGTTTGGATAGTTTCTACTGCTCTGTCTTGGAATTCATTAATCCTGTCTTTTGCTATATCCAGACTGCTGTTAAAGCCATTTAATGAGTGCTAATTTCAGATATATTTTTTTATTATAATATGCCCATTTAATCATTTTTGTTAGATATCAATTCTCTGATGAAATTCTTTTTGTCCATTTTATCCATCTTACCTTGTGTTTTCCTTCAAGTCCTTGTCTACTAATTCCAATAACTGATTCATCTGTGGATGAATTTGGTCCTACTGTCTGAAGAGTTTTACCAGTAAAACTATATGGTGAAATATTGGAAAGGTGTCACTTCTCTGGGAGAATCAGAATGAATTACCCAAATGAAAAAGACGATAAATATGCCAGGAAAGGTTATTCTTCCTGGGCTCTGTGGTGAGAAAATTGGAGGTGTTTCTTGAACAAGAAACCAGACCCTGATGAGAGGTCCCCTAGGGAGGACACAATTTGAAACAAACGGGAAATATTTTCTGTTGACTCACACAAGAGGCAGATTCCAATGAAGAGAGCCCTGTCAAATATGCCACTTGTACACCAGGATGGCCATTCTGTGTCAGGTTACAGTCATTGGTAAAGAAGACAACTTCACCAAAGTACCAGCCTTAAGATCTAGCTGGTAAGTACGCTTTAGTTTAGATAAGCCAAACAACCAAGAAAAATAGTCCAGGATAAGGGCAGGGCTTATGAAAGGTCAACCTTAAAGAACTTCTAGAAGGGATAAAGAAAGAGATTTTAAAGTTAGGTTTGGGTAGCCTGAAGCTCAGATTAAGAATCTCTGAGGCCAGGGCCAGCCAAGTGGCACGTTGGTTAAGAGCTGGCTTGGGACGCCTGAGGTCCCCGGTTCGGATCCCACATATGAGGGCCAGTGACACTGCCCTCTACAGCTAAGATGCTGAACAACAGCTCAACCTGGAGCTGGGCTGCTGTGAGTCNGGCCCTAGAGAGCTAAATTTTAAATGCAACTTAAAAAACATATTCAGTTTTCACAAAGAGGCTGAGGTGGTAGAAGTGTCCTATAACTGGATTGAGGTGATGGTTGCACAACTGTAAATTTACTAAAAATCATTGAATTGTACACTTAACCATGAGTAGATTTTTATGGTTTATGAGTTATAATTCAATAAAGCTGTTTTAAAAAATTTCATCAAATTTATGGATACTTAATAAAGAAATTGAGGTTTATGTAGCTTAGCCACAGGAAGTAATTTGCAGGTGTTTTTCCCATCATGTTTTATATTAGGGTCAAGATGTGCTAAGGCAGATCATAAGGTATATATGCTAGCTGTGATTTATTTAAACAAATTCACACTCCGGGGATTAACTTTCTCCAATTTTATTCTTCTCAACAGGCCCCTGTAAAGATCGCCGTCATTTTCAAGCAGCTAAGAGTTCTCATTGATTGTGTTTTAAGAAAAAAGCTTGAAAATCCTAAGATGTCCCTTGAAAGTAAGTGTTTGATTATAATGTAGATAGAAAACAGTATACTTTTAAACATTGGAGTACACTATACTGAGTTCTTAAATTCCAAGTGATTAAAAATGTTCTAATAAAATGTATTTAATGAATTCCATCAGATTCATAGACAGTTCTTCATTATTCACAACCTAATTATTCTCTTAAGATTCTTTTAGTTTACTCTTTCCTCTTCTAATCTTCACTTTTAAACTTCTGGCCATTTCACAGAAAAAAAGGATGATAAAACTGAGTATTGTAAATTTTGCTACTTCTTAGCATACTAATAAACAGATAATACAGTTATTGTAAAAAATAAGAGGAAGGAACTTCCTGTGAAGTTCCCAGCATCTTTTCTCTACCATTCTCACAAATGTAGAGCCTATTAGTCTGTATAGATTAAGTACATTATCCTTCAGTAGAAATCTGCAATGGACACCTGAGTTTCCAGTTAGTCTGGTGCAGTGTTTCCCAAACTTGCCAAATCATCAGAATCATCTCAGCAGTTGTTAAAAACACAAAGCCCAGAGACCTAGCCCAGATGCACTGAATCTATTGGAGAGGCCTGTGATGGTGTTATTATTCTTAAATCTCTTTTAATCTATAACACTTCCTTCTACTACCATCCTTTTTAAATGCAATTATTTTTTTATAAACTGGGTTATTTTTCTGGTAGAATTTCCCAGATTCAGGATGTGGTTGGTTGCATAATCATACTTTGATTTAACATGTTTCTCTATTCCCTATATTTCCTACAAACCAGTAGTTATATCTAGAAGCTTGATTCGAATCAGATATTTAGAAAAACAGTATTTTCTCGTTGGTGCTATATTCTTCCCCTTGTCAACACATCAGGAAGCACTTAAATTTAGTTTTCTGCTTTAAATGATAAGAATTGATTAATGGATTCAGTGTGATTGTATTTAACGAGTATCCCAGTTAATTCTCGTCAGGCAAGTTGGGGAGCTATTGATTAGCGCTACTGCCCAAAGCCTCACACTCAGTGTTTATTTGTATAACTGAACGTGAATGCATAAGAATTAAGTTGTATTAATTTTCCTGTACTGATGGAAACATAGATCGGGGTTTTTGTTTGTTTGTTTTTAAGCTGAGCCATCCTGCCACCTGTTGGCAGCTCAGCGGCTGATTAGCTTGGGCCGGAACTCGAACCGCTATTGCTCAGAGCTCAAACTCTTGAGCGAGCTCTTAACCAACTGAGCCACTAGGCCGGCCCTGGATTGAGTCTTGACATATTAAGAGATGTGGGCTCTTAGGGAGCTCTGTGCGTTACAACTCAGCCTTAGAAAGAATTACATTGTATAAAAAACAGATTGAACCTCAACTTAAGAAAAATGAATTTTAAAATGATTTCAGTGTTGCTCTTTGCCATAAAAGAGAAAGCAGAACTTACACCCTTGGACGAAGCGTATATTTTTGACTTGCGAGGAAGAATGAAGTACATTTGTGTCTTCTCTTTCTGGACTTCATAATAAGTTGGGATATAATGCACAGCTTTTGAAAAAGAAATAACACAAGTTGCTTTTGTGCTTTCTGTTTCTCTACTCTTTCTCAGATAAAAATTGTGGATCTTTTTATTCCCCTTGTAACAAGTGACCTTTCTTTACTTTTTTTTTTAAATGCCACTGTAGCCCCCAGGTACCTGACTGTCGGGCCACGGGCCCAGTTATCAGAAGTCCCCATTGCAACCATTGAAACCCAGAGCATTCTCTTATTGATGTGTCTAATATAAATACAGAATTTCAGTCTAGCAGCCCTAATAATTACAACTATCTAAAGAGGGGAAGTCACAATATCAGAGCAACTGTTTAGAAGTAGAAGCAGCTGTTAACACCTCCTTAGCAAATAGTGTAGCCTCTGTTGTGTATTTGTCTAATTAATTGGTATTTGATTACTTTCTTGTGTAGAGAGGTCTGTCACTTCCCTATTGACACCTCTCCAAGAGCACTTCCCTGTTAAAATTTGTTTCCTTTTGGCTAACCATGGAGAAACTGATAATAGTTCCTTCTTCCTTGTCCGTATTGTGGAAATCCTGACACACTGAAGAAATAAGTCCTTATAAAGGACTAACAGTTACATCATATCTCTTCAGGCCTTAGCCTACTTTTTGGCAAAGTAGATGTATAACTATAGCAATAATTAAAATATTTGTAGGGCAATAAATTATGTAGGCATCTATAGTTTTATAGTGAATATTGCTGGTGTTTTGTATTTTAAAGAATCTTATTAAAGTATACCTGTTGTTTATATGTGTATACATTACAAAATTAACTGGTGATGAATTTATTCATGGTTTTTTTTTTTCTTCCACTCAGATGACAAGATTCTACAGATCATTACGGAACTGATAAAAACAGAATAATCGAAACTGAAATTCATGGTCAGCTGCTTTAAAAATTAAGATGAAAATACAGTCATGAATTATGTGAAAAGAGACCATCCCATTAAGTATTTCAGTACTTAAAATGTTTGTACTAGCCATACCTTAAAGGTGGCAGAAAAAAGCACATACTTTAAACATGTGTAATTTTCTAGTTCCTTTTTAATGATTGATGATTATTCTCAGTGTATTTGCCACTACATTTACAATAAATTCTTTGGTATCATCCATGTTTTATGCATCATTATGTGCCTTATGGGCAAGGCCTGTGTGTGTAGTATATGTGACTTAGTGTTGTGATTCCCTGTGTACCCATCTCATTATCAGCCGTTTAGATCTTCTTGACCTAGAAGAGAAAATGAGCTCCAAAACCAGTTGTCATTACATTTCCATGGTAAGGGACAACTTCCAAAGTCAGTTATTTAATATTTGATACTCAAAATCAAAACCTAAATAAGCACACATTATAAATAGATGCCACCTATTTCAGTAACATTCACCAAGCATAAAGATGTTGTGCCGGAGGGCAGGCAGGAATGGCTAACGCTACTGTGGGATGGATAACTTGCACCATTTTCCTCATTCCTAAGCTTTGATATCACTGCCCTTGAACCCTTTTTTACCCATAATTGAATTGGCAAGGTTGGTAACCTTGAAATAGTAAAACATGCTTAGATATTTTTCACTGGTTTCATTTGTTTCAGTTACTGAGGGTCTTTTGAAACTATGTTGATTTTAAAGAGGAGTTTTCCCTTCATTTCCTACCAAGATTGTTGAGGAACTTCAAATATAGTCCTGTAAAGACCAAATGGCAGAAATTGTATTGTATATGAAGGACAAATTATTAGAATTAGGAACCTAGTCCAATTGCTTCACTCATACTAGGTACTCAGTATTGGTTGTTGAATGAATAAAAGAAGCTGTAACTTTCACGTTATGTGAAGATATAAGTAAAAATATTACTTATAGCAATCTAATTTTAGGTTTCTACTTGGAGTGTGATAAGGGAATTAAGAACAAGGAGTCAAATGGGACTGCGGTTTGGAATCTCTAGCTAGTGCCATTAATACAGATGGAGGTATCAAGTGGAAGAGATAGACTAGGTGCTGGGGGCAACTCAATTTGTGCCATGCAGAGACAGGGTGCAGAGTCCTGAAGGTAGAACTAATGTTGACTGAGCACTGTGTGTGTGCAAGCTAGTGCCAGATGTTTCTTGTGTATTAATTCATTTAATGCTCACAACAACCCTATGAGGTAGGTAGTACATTATTCCCGTTTTTCAGATGAGGAAACTGAGGCACAAAGAAGTGAAACAGTTTGTCCAAGATCACACTGTTAGTGGCAGAGGCATTATGGCTTCAGAACCATTTAAATTTCTGAAATGTAACCATTATTCCTTTGAAAATGAGAAACAGTGGCTCATCAGGATTAGGGTCATAGGGTTAGATAGTCTTTCCCACTCTAACCCTATGAAGTGATAGGGGATAGTTACCCTAGAGGTGATAGTTAAAGATAGGGGAGTGGAGATCACCAAAGGAGAGAGAAGACAGAACATAAGTGTGGTTAAAATCTTGGAGAACATTTCAAAGTCCATTTACTCCTTTCCATCTCCTCAGCCATCACTCAGACCCAGGCCACCATCACCTTTCACCTACATCACTGTAGTAATCTCCAAAGTAGGCTCTCCCCTTCTTACCCATCTCTAGCCCATTCTCTCTCTAACTCTAAGAATGATCTTTTTAAAAGATATCTGTCAGGCGGGCCGAGTGGCGCATTGGTTAAAAGCTGGCTTGGGATGCCAGAGGGCCCTGGTTCAGATCCCACATATGAGGGCCAGTGACACTGCCCTCTACAGCTAAGATGCTGAACAACAGCTCAACCTGAGCTGCGCTGCCGGTGAGTCGGCGGCGACAGGCTGCAGCCCTTGCTGCAGTGGGTTGCCATGGGCTACTGTGTGTAGCCAGCAGCCAGTGTGAGTGGCCAGCAGCCACAGTGAGCGGCCGTCCAGAAGCCGGCGACTGATC